AGGTTCTTCCAGTGTAGCTGGATCAAGGGGGATGGGGGGGGAGAAAGAGTGGCTTTTATTCTGTAATTATTGTTTACTGAACTCCAAATTGGTTGGAGGTGGGGGGGAGGTGTATTATTTGGACAAGTTGATTTAATGCACATTTCCTTATTCTGCAAAATGTTAGGGTTATGCCAAATCACAAAAGCTCAGACATGGAAGAGATCTTGGAGGCTGCTGAGTCCAGCCCATGCCTGAACTGGAATCCTTTCCACAGCTTGCCAACATCTTTAAATCTTTACCTAAAGCAGCTTGGTGGCTTAGTGGATAGAACACTGGAGTGAGGAAGACTTGATTTTGAATCCTGCTTCAAACACTAATTGTGTTCATACGTATAAATCACTTACCCTCTTTCAGCCTCAGTTTCCTCATCTGTAAAACAGATAATAGCACCTGCCTCCCAGGGTTGTTGCAGGGATCAAATAGGTAAGATTTCGTATAAATATATTTATGTATATATGCCTATAGATACCTATTTGCATGTGTGTAAAGCTTCTTCTGGGCAACTAAGTGATGAAGTGGCTAGAGGGCTGGGTCTGTAGTCAGGAAGACTCATCTTCCTGAGTTCAGATCTGGCCTCAGATATTTACTAACTGTGTGACCCTGGGCAAGTCACTTAACCCTATTTGTCTCTGTTTTCTCATCTGTAAAATGTTCTGGAGAGGGAAATGGCAAACTGTTATAGTATCCTTGCCAAGAAAATCTCAAATGAGATCAGGAAAAGTTAGACATGACTGAAAATGACTCAAACAACAAATTTATGCATATACACATATGCATGTGTGTGTATATATACACACATACATACATACATTTGTAAAGCTCCCTGTGAACTCTCCTATCTACATATAATATGAATTAATTCCTCAAGCAGCCCATCTCACTTTGAGACTATCATGATGATTGTCAGAAAGTTAGGTTGTTTTGTTTTTCCCATGACATCAAGCCTGCATCTCCTAACTCACCCAAAGCTCCTTCTCTGGGGCTAAGCAGATTAAGTCTAATTTTTTTTTCCACAACAAGTAGATTCTAAGATCCCATCAGCTCTAGATCCAAATCAACAGACTATCTTAAGTGCTTGCTGAGTGCCAGGTACTTGTCTCCAGGGATAGCATTCTTTACAGTGTACCAGGCAAGCCCCCAAACCATATGCCACTGCCTAGCCCAGACCCATCTGCCCCTGGAGGCATTCTCAGAAACCTTTGCATCTTTCATTTTAGAGTGAGGCAGATCCAGGGTCTGGGTCTGAGGTTGTCTTCTTCCGGGTAGTTGAACTATACTGCATATAGAGTAAGAAGTTCTGGGTTGGAATCCAGAGTCTGCCATTCATTGACTCTGAACAAGTTCTTTCTCTTCTCTAGGATCAGTTTACTCTTCTGTGAAATAAGGGGCAAGATAATTTCTGAGGTCCTTTCCACCTCTAAATCTTATAGTGGTTTCATTTTTCTTCCAGTGTCTGAAATGGCCAATGAATGTCAATATCTTTTGAGCAGAAAAGGCAGCCAGCTTCACCAGAGCACCCAGACCACCCACTTGATTTCTTTCCCTGACGGCCTAACACGTGAGGCCTCAGAGTTGACACTGTGGCAAGAAGGCATGCATGTGTATTGCTGGTCTGAGTCTACTCCCACTTGACCTCCTTTGAGGTTGCTCCATAACTGCAAATGTCCAGCTACAGAACCTGAGAGTAAGTGGTACAATTGAAAGGCACTTGATTTAAAGGCAAAAAAACCTAGGTTCCAAATCTTGCCCTGACATTTCACAGGGTGATATATTTCAAATTCGAAGGGTCTTTGCAAGTCATCTAAATGGACACCTTCCTTCTGAAGATAAGAAACCTAAGGCTCAGAGAGAGAGAAGTGACCTGCTGGAGATCATACAGGTAAGTGGCAAAGCCAAAATTTGAAGTCAGGTTTTTTGGCTCAAAAGCTGGCATTGCTTTTGACCTCCTTTCATCTCACGAGCCTCAGTTTCCTCATTTGTAAAATGAGGAGGCTAAACTAGCTGTCTTCGGTGTCCTTTCCAGGCAGCCCCGGATCAAAAATTCTATGAACAATAAAACCAAAATGTAGGGTTTGGCTACAGGAATCAATGAAAGATGGAAGGGTGAGGGGGTGAAATGCTAAGTCTTATACCAAGTTCTCTGACAACTGAGAGTTGATGAATTCACTCTCACATGAACTCAATGCCTACCTGGGAAGTCAGGACAATTTTGTGAATTTGATACAACGTGTGGATTTATATTTATGTGCTCCTATGCATTTATTTGATTCGTGGTTGTAAAACATGGATCGCCATGACAAATAAGTCCTCTCCTGGTGGTGAAACCACAGCTGATGGGCGTCGCTGGTTTTATCCAGTCTTAGTGCCTCCCTGGGCAGTCGAGTTCATCTCCAGTGTAGTAAGGTCTGCCTGAGCTTGAGCTCAGATGTCCTGTGCCCACGCTAAGGTATCTCAATTACGGACAACATGGAAATGCACATATGCGCATGTCAATGTAAATACGGACTCATCGATTTTAGAGCTGGAAGGGTCTTTAGAAGTTCTTCTGTCCAACCCCTGCCCCCTTTTTCCCTGCTCCCCACTACAGCCCCGGAGCAAAGAAGGACTTCAGTACCCTTGAGCAAGAAGAGCTCATATGAATAGCTGAGACAAAATGAATGAAACAGACAAAAATCCTTTTTAACCCCAAGTCAAAGAGAAGCAACCTCCAGTCCACGCCCCGGGCAAACGCAGGAAGCTGGAAGCAAGATGTCAGTTTCAGCCTGGGAATACAGACGAACAAGGGTCCTCGGGGATTTTCCCTAGGAAGGACGCATGCAGCACGCAACCTCGATTTCCCTATTCTTATCACCCACCACCCCGAACTCTCTCTCCATCCCAGCTTCTGCTCTGGGCCACGGCTCTGCTCCCCACTTCGCAGCTGGCGTGCGGCCCAGAAGATGCAGAGTGGAGGGGGTGGGGGGACGCAAGAAGGGCTCAAGCGAGGGAGGGAGTGGGGTGGAGAATGAGAAGTTGGAGATGCTGTGGGAGAGAATGGGGGCGAGAAGAAGAATGGTACCCAGGTGGGCAGAACGATCCATCGGCCTCTTCGGGTCTGCCGGACTCATCAAGCACTCTTCTCTCGGTTGGGGGATGGGGTGGGATTTCCGCCTTGACAACCCCAGTCTCCTCCAAGCCCGGATTCCAGAGATGATTTTTACCAGCACTGCTGATGGACAAGCCAAACCAGCGTAAGACGAATCCTCTGATCTCTGTCAAACATTTTTCCTCAAAACCTTTTTTTTTGAGGGAGTGGGCCCTCTCAGTTGGCGTTTTATTCACAGATTGAACTGTATCCTTTTAAACGACTGGGAAAGATTTGGGCAAGGGGATGAGAGCTGGCCTTATTTCAGAATACCCTCCAAAAAACTTCCTCACGGCTTGTGATACTTTAACAATCAACAGTCAAGCCGCGCTATCACCAACCACGTGATCTCGTTTTAACTAGAGGCGGTTAGAATACCTGAGACTGCCGTGGTTCGGATTCCCGGACTAGAGGAGGTACTTGGATTGGACTTTGTATATTTGACTTTTAAAACCCTTCACAACCTGGCCTCTTCTCACCTTTTCAGTCTTCTCACACCTCACCGTCCTCTACATCCTCTGCGATCCAGTGACACTGAGCCTTTTGCCGTTCCATTTCTCGACTCCGTGTAGCTTTTCGCTGGCTATTCCCTACTCCCGGAATGCCTTCCCTCCTCACCCCAGCCTCCTGGCTTCCCTGGCTTCCTTAATTACACAGCTCACGCACTACCTTCTGCAAGGGAGAGGGCTCTACCGCTGCCTCCCCAGCCCTGGCCCCCAACGCCTTTAGTGCCTTCCCTTCAGTTATCTTCCATTTGCTCTGAATATGTGTGTGTGTGTGTGTGTGTGTGTGTGTGTGTGTGTGTAGTATGTACATAATTATTTTCATATTATCTTCACCTTGAAAGCAGGGACTATTTTTACCTTTCTTTGTATCCCAGAAGCTTAGCACAATGCCTGGCACGTACTGGGTGCTTAATAAATGCTTATTGACCTGACTGACCAGCAAAATTGAAAGAACAAGACAACCACAGTCCTGATGCAACTATTCCTCTTAAGAAACTGGTATTCTGCATTTGAAGCAGCCAGAGAAGGTCCCAGACTCTGGGGCACCCAGTGTCCAGTGATGCTGACCATGGAGGGTGAAACTCTGGCCCTGAGTCCATGCTGTTTAGATTAAACCTTGGCCAAGGAGCTTAGGCAAAAACTCCTGGCATTGACTACTAGGTCTGTATCCCAAAGAGATCATTAAAAAGGGAAAGAGACTCACATGTACAAAAATATTGATAGCAGCTCTTTCTGTGGTGGCAAAGAATCAGAAATTGAGGGGATGCCCATCAAGTGGGAAATGGCTGAATAAGTTGTGGTATGTGAATGTAATGGGATTGGCTATTGTGCTATAAGAAATGATGAGCAGGCAAAAGAGTCATGATAGAAAATGTTATCCACATCCAGATAAAGAACTGATGGACTCTAAATGTAGATCAAAGCATAATATTTTCACTTTTTTGGTTTTTATTTTTTCTTTCTTGTGCTTTTTCTCTTTTTTCTGATTCTTCTTTCACAACATGACTAATGGGGAAATGTGTTTAATATGATTGCACATGTATAACCTATATCAGATTGCTTGCTGTCTTGAAGAGGGGACAGGGAAAGGAGGGAGGGAGAGAAAATTTGGAACCCAAAGTCTTATAAAAATGAATGTTGAAAACTATCTTTACATTTAATTAGAAAAAAAATAAAATACTTTTAAGTGTGGTGGGGGAGATTCCTGGTATTGGACGTTACAGGGGAGAGAGGATGAAGAAATACACACACTGAACATATTAGGGTGAGACAGTACCAAGACTGTGTGTATAAATTTTTAACTTTATAATAACTTTATAATTCTCTTTTACAAGGTATTAACAAAGAAGCTTTTGCTTGTTTCTCTCTTTAAGGAAGTTTGGCCCCATATTACACAGGGAGACTGGTTTTGTATTCTCCAAATCTAGTTGCGGCAAGGATTTCCGGATGTTCCTCGGTGTGGCAGTGCTCAGCCTGAGACATACCTTGACTGCTTATTCAGTCTAGACCATGAGATAGACTTCAAGGTGGCGTTCCTTTCTGGGTTGAACCTATCACTAACCATAGAACTATGTCTCACATCAGGTAACCAGAGAACTGGGTCCTAGAAAAATGAAAAATGAACGAGTAGATGGAAACCAATCTTTGCAATAAGTTTTCTGATGAAGGTCTCATTTCCAAAATATACAAAGAGCTGTTTCATGTTCATAAGAATAAGAGTTATTCTCCTCTTTATAAGTGGTCAATGAATATAAAAGGGTAATTTTCAAGGGAAGAAATTCAAGCTATCTATAGCCAAATTGGGGAGGGGGTACTCCAAATTATTAATAACTAGAAAATGAAAATTAAAGCAATTTTATGGTCCACCTCACACCCATCAGATTGATAGAGATGACAAAATAGCAAATGATAAATGTTGGAGGAGCTACAACCAAACAAGCAGGTTAATGTACAGATGGAGCTGTGAATTGGTCCACTGTGGAAATTAATTTGGAATTGTGCCCCAAAAGTTACTAAATTGTCCATATCCCGGGTATATCCCAAACATACATTATAGGCTTATACTCTAGATGAGAATAAAGAGGAAGAGGTCCTATTATGTACAAAAACATTAATGACAGATATTTTGTAGGGGGGAAGAACTTGAAATTAAGATGTCACCCATTAACTAGGCAGTGGCTAAACAGTTGTGCAACATAAATGTAACAGAACACTATTGTGCTGTAAGAAATTAAGAGAGTTTCAGAGAAACCTCAGAAGATTGGTATGAGCTGATACAGAATGAAATGAGCAGATTCAGGGGAACAAATGTTGCTGCTATGTCAACATTGTAAAACCCAACAATTTTGAAAGATTTAAGAACACTAATTAATGAAATAGCCAAACAGGACACCAGAGGAAGGATGATGAAGGGTGCCAGCCACCTCCTGACAGAGGTGATGGACTGCTAGTGCAGAAAGACACACTTATTTGGGGGACATTTTTGGCCAGTGTGGGGATTTGTTTGGGGAACTATGCTGATTTGCTACACAGGTTTTATTTTCTTTGGGTTAAGAGTTGGATGCTTGTTCTACTAGATAATTGACCAAAAAAAAATTTTTAAATGAAACAGCCCAGGATCTTGAATTAGGAAACTCCATAGGGGTCCTCTACTTTAATTGCCTTCTTTTATAGAAGAGGAAAAGGGGAATCATATAGGGGAAGTGACTCATTCAGGACCACACAAATAGTAAGTAGCAAAACCCCAATTTGAACCTAGGTCTTCTGGCTTTCAAATCCAGCTCACTTTGTCCTCTCTTAGTCTCAGTTTATTTATCTGTAAAAAAAAACAGAAGTGGTAACACTGGCATTACCTTGCTGGTTCTGCCACTAAAGGACGTGTGTGCTCTTGGACAAGGCATTTCCTGTGTCTGGGCCTCAATTTTCTCATTTGTAAAACGAAGGGACGGGATTAAATGACATCCAAGGTCTCTTCCAGCTCTAAGCCACTTTGACAAATCAGGAAGCCTCGTTACGCGACGATTCCGCCCTCTCTTGTAGGGTATCGAGGGAGAAAAAGCTTTAAAAATCCAAAAGCTCCGGAAAATTGGGTCTAGGAGCAAATAGCTATTTTCTGAGCCCTGAGCAGAGGGAAAAGTGTGAAGTGAAAGCTCTCTGGTTGGACCTGGAGCAGGGTAGGGAAGAAAGTGGGTCCTGAGTCGGGGTGTTAAAGATGCTTCTTTTTCTCTGTAGAAACTCTCCCCCCCCCCCCCCCACCCCCTCCCAGTGTGCGGAGTTTGAAGCTACGGGAGTAAACTCGCCCCCGAGCGACTTCTACGTCTGCCATCTCGGTCTCACAGAAGGGGAGGGCTGGAGAGAAAAGAGGTAACTAACCCAAAGCTCTGGTCCGAAGCGGTCCTCAAACTACCGGAGCGCAGTGTCTGGCTGCCTCTAATGCAAATTCTTCACACGTACCTGGGGGGCGCGTCTACACCGCAAGTCGGAGAGAATCGTGGCAATTTTTGCTCCTTCAATCTTCTGTAAAATAAAAAATAGTAATTCCCACGTTAGCTTCCTGCCTTCCGATCAGCTTGCTTTTCTCCACCCAACGGGACCTTCGGGAAAACAGGGACTGTTTTCGGGGGTCTGAGAGGTTGTTTTCGTATCCCTCTAGGGTGCTTCTGGCAGACAGGGAGAGAAATTGGATCTGCTACGTCTAACGATTCAGGTCAGCAGCTTCTCTGCAATGTATGGTCCTAGAGAATGGCCTAGAATGTTCCGAGGTTAAGTGACCTGCCCAAGGTCACATAGCCAGTCTGTGTCATGGGAAGGACTTGAGCAGAGATCTGTCTGGCTTCCAGGACAACTCTCTATACATTCTGGCACGCTGTTTCTCTTACCTGGCATATGATATATGTCTGATAAACGCATGTTAATTGATTTGGGCTCTAGGTTCAAACCACACCTTTGACACTTATTACTCATGTAGTCTTGCGCAAGTAACAATCTCCACTGGCCTTAGTTTCCTTGTCTGTAAAATTAATGGATTTGTACTGAATGACCTCTGAGGTTTCTTTTAGCTCTAAATCAGGAAGGAAGGAAGGAAGGAAGGAAGGAAGGAAGGAAGGAAGGAAGGAAGGAAGGAAGGAAGGAAGGAAGGAAGGAAGGACAAAGAGAGGGAGAGAGGAGACTAGCACCAACTCGGAGCCTGGCATTGTGCTGAGTAGGATATCAACACACACACACACACACACACACACACACACACACACACACCCTTCCATACATTCCCCGATCTTGAATATAATGACCTTTTAACTAGGCAAGGGCTTTAGTGAACTGCTACTAATAGCGTACAATTATACATGAATTGAAGGTCTGCCAAACATTTTACACTACGTTATCTCCCTCAGTCCTCACAGGAACCCTGGGAGGTTGGTGCTATTATTCTCCCCATTTTAGAAATGGAGAAATTGGGAGAAATGAGGTACAGAAAACTTAGGGGACCTGCCTAGGGTCACTACATAGTAGTATTAGCATCTATTCATTAAGAAAATATTTTACATAATGATTAAAAAAACCTGCCACAAATTCAGTAAGTTTTAATTATATTTTACTAATAACAAATGTGTCTTCACGAAATTTAAATAATAACAACACCTGGAATTTTTAAATCGCTTTTGGAATTGCAAAACACAGTGTGTACATTTGATCCTGCCAACAAACCCATGAAGGAGATTGTACGGTTATGACTATCTCCCTATTACAGATTTGTAAAACGAGGCTAGTAAGCACTACAGGCTTGTACAGTGTACGAGCAGTACAATTCAGACCCGTTTCTCCTCGACTGCACGTCCATCACTCTCTCCAAATTTCCTCCTCCTCCTCCTCCTCCCTCCTCCTCCTCCTCCTCCTTCTTCTTCTTCTTCTTCTTCTTCTTCTTCTTCTTCTTCTTCTTCTTCTTCTTCTTCTTCTTCTTCTTCTTCTTCTTGTCTCCAGAAGGCACTTCGTCCTTTAATGAAATGGACCCTTATTGCAATGGCTGCACCAGCCCCCAGGAATCCAGCGCCCACCTACTGTGGACCACTGATGGAACTGAGTCCTCTTTTCAGAGGCGGTAACTGAGGCTCAGAAAGGGGGCGTGATTCATCACTTACCGAGGCTTTGGCCGAAGTGAGGACAAAAGACTCTTGAGTCCCAGCCTGGAGAAGGGTCCTTCCAGCCCTGGATGAATGACTCGTATCTTAGAATCCGCGCTGAGCTAGTCCAAAACACCGGCAAGCCTGCCGTGCTTTCCCAGCTTCCTTAATGGGCCCCTCCTTCAGCCTCCTCCCTCCTGTCCTCTAACCCTACAGACCTTTCTTTCCTCCTCCCCCCTCTCCGAGCCCAGCCGCCCAGGTCCCTCCGAGTTTATTTATTCAGGGTTTCCTAATAGCCCAGCCCAGCTATTTTGGTGGTACAGCTAGATAGCAGATGGAGCAGGTCCAGCCCCCCGGGCCGCTCTGTCAGCGCTGTCAGCCCACACCGAGGCTTCCAGGACGGGCTGGAATTTTAATTGAAATGGATGCTCGGCGGGCTGGACGAGCAGATAAGAGGATGCTATCTGAGCTGCTGGCTGGGGGCTCTCGCCTCCCAAGGCGGTCCAACTCAGCAGCTCCCGCGACGTGAGCTACTGCGCTCGGCGGACCAGGAGGCCAGGCCCAGCGGCTTCCTCGTCCACCTTGTAACACTGAGACTTGGGAAAAAATAAGCAAGGCGAGGCAGGAGGCTTATTCACCCTCTGCCCTCATGGCTGAGGGCTGTGAAAAAGCAAATGCCTGCAGGGCGCTAAGTGACCACCCCCCACACCCTCAGGTCACCAGAGTCTCCAGGATTTCAGCAGCAGAGGAACGAAATAGTACGAGTCCCTCCGAGTTTGCGGCCAGCTCCCCAAAAGAGCTCAAACAAAAGTAAAGTTCAGAGGATTTACATTTGGAAGGGTCATTCAGTCCCTTCCCTTTTGTTGTACATGAGAGGAAACTGAGGCGCAGAGAGGGTGATGGGATTTGTCCAAGGTCACAGAAAATGTCTTAACTTCTGATTGATGTTTTTTGGTCAATTTACGTTCATTACTTTTTTTTAAATAAAATTTTATTTTACGTCACCTAATTTTTCCCCTGCATCACATTCCCTCCCTCTTCCCAGAGAGCCATTTCTTATTACGAAGAATTAAAAGAAAAAGGGGGGGGGGGACAAAGGAAACGAGGAAGAAGAAAAATGCAGCAAAGGCCAGGCAACACCGGGAAAACTGGACAAAATATGCACCATTCTCCATTTGTGTACACCCTCACCCTCCTGGGCAGAGTCTTCTCACACCTCTGATCAGGAGCGGCACTTGTTCTCGGTAATTGACTAATATTTATTTGTGCTGCTTTTGTGGGGGATTATTTTTTACATACACATTGCTGTAGTCATTGTAGATATTGTTTCCTTGGTTCTGTTTCCTTCACTTTGCATAAACTGGTGAAAGTTTTCATGATTCTCCAGAATAATTACATTTGTAATTATTTCTTACTAAGGGTAATATTTATTTTTAATTTAATTTAAATGTATTTAAAAATTTTAGTATAAAAAATTTCTTCCTCCCCATTCAATGTCCATGACCTCCTACCCCTCCCAAACACCCTCTGCCAAGCTTTCCTTCCCCTGAATAGTCCAGAAAATAGCCTTAACTATCTCCCACCCCACCCCCAGGAGACTAAAAGCCAGTGTAGCTTGAAGGGGGGAGTGGCCACTTGTAAGTACTGCAAGGGGATTGTGTGGTCTCCAGGCACCACAGCACAGCCCCCTGCATCCTAGGCTTCTGCCCAGCAAGAGGGTCCAGTTGGAAGGTCCTTCTAATATTAGTGGAGATTCCCCCTCTCCACAGTAACTAATTGTTTTCCCCATAGTTAACCAATAACCCCCTTCCTGGCTTGGTTTGGTGGTGGTGATGGTGGTGGTGTTGGTAAGTCATGTCCAACTCTTCATGATCCTACTTTGGGTTTTCTTAGCAAAGATACTGGCCATGTCTTTTTCCAGCTCATTTTATAGATGAGGCAACTGAAGGCAAACAGTGTTAAGTGACTTGCCCAGAGTCACCCAACTAGTAAATGTCTAGGGGTATTTATATATACATATATGTTATAAACATGTATACATACATAGTCACGCTTGTTATGTAAGTATACATGTAATACATACCTTTGTAAAGTCTTATGTAGTTTTCTATCTCTGCTTACAGGCTCTCCTACTTATGGAAACATATGCTTGGCTAAGGGTAAGATTTCAGTATCTTCATTGTGTTTGGAACTTTTTAATGGACTTAGTCTCTATTCTTCCTCCATGTTCTCCCCAGCCATGCTGAAGCTGGATGAATCTCTCTTTTCTCTAAGAAGATCCAAATCTCTCTCCTACAATTCCAGCATTAATCAGACCACACAAGGATTTGTTGGCTACTGGAATTTATTCTTTACAGAACGACAATATATAATAGCAACCAAAAGACTGTGCAATTGGGGTTCTGTGCAACCTGGGGTCGGTGCAGGTGGGGAGAAATCAGCAGATCGATTGTGAATGCAGAAACACAATCTCTTCTTCTGCTCTCTCCAATTCCTCCCTCTTACATGAAGAGAGAAGAGGCAGATCTCAGGTGAGGTTAGCAGTTAATAAGGGACTGCTTGCTCATGCAGCATGGAGACAAGGTGAGTCTTTTGAACTCCAGTATTTCCCAGTAGAACTATATCTCCTTGTAGCAGGTCTTGACAATGCATTCAAGCAATATGCCATCATTTGGTTCTGCCTTAGCTCTTCTGAGCCAAAGTTGGAGACTTCTTCCAACCTTAGTCGGCTTAGGAGTTTTGAGTATTTGTATCATCTCTGTCTTCTGGAAATCCAAAGCATAAGTCACTAGGTAGGCATGGCTTTCACCCAAACATAAGCAGGTCTGTTATAAAGCCAGAAGCAACATTCTTGGTGCTGATACAAATGTGGACTATGGCTTCCACTGAAATTTTCATTCTGTTGTAAGAATTCTTAGTATATTCAATAGCATGAAGGGTCCCTTGGGCTTTGGGTCACCCTGTGGGTGGAAAGAGTAGTTTTAGATTTCTTTTTTTTTTAATTTGATCCTTTGAGATGTTTCTTTTTCTTTCTTCTTTTTTTTTAATTTTTAGGCAATTGGGGTTAAGTGACTTGCCCAGGGTCACACAGCTAGTAAGTGTCAAGTGTTTGGTCTGAGGCCGAATTTGAATTCAGGTCCTCCTGACTTCAGGGCCAGTGCTCTATCCACTGTGTCACCTAGCTGCCCCTAGATTTCCTAATGATAGCCAAAGCTATCTTGAGTAGCTTGTCTCAAAATCAATGAGTCAATAGTTAATAAATATTTATTAAATGACTATCATTTGCCAGGCACTGTGCTAAGTATGGAGGGATACAAAGAAAGGCAAAAGATAGTCCCTGCCCTCAAGAAGCTCGCTACCAATTGGAAGAAAACAACATATTTTTAAAAAGCTGCAAATTGGGGGTACCTCCTTAGGGGCATGCTAATGACCTGCCGCTGAGGTAGTAGTTGAGCTGGAGGCTTCCCCAGGCAGCCTCCTTAAATGAAGGCTCTGGGAGGAGCTCATGAATATGCACCCTCTCCTGTAAGAGGGAGGGGGGGCCCAAGAGCTGGGGGGCACAGAGGAGGTAGAAGTTATGCAAAGCTGATGTCTTCTAGTAGGCTGATGAGTTTCTGGAGTCCCTATCTTGGTCGGAGAGTGGATCTCAACAAAGCATCCTTATGCTGAAAAGCATTACTGGAACACACCTTTAACACGTGTAGACGCTTTCTTGTTTCTGGTTTGGTGTGCTGCATTCAGCGTAGCTGGTGAAGGGATCAGATACCAAAAAGATGTGCCTTAAGTTCTCACCGGCTCCTTGTAGAGATTCAAACAAGTCAATGGGGAAGGAGGCTGCCGATGCAAGGAAGGTCTAAAAGTCTGCTCGTGCTTATATCCTTCAAATATGCTACACAAGTTGGCCATGGTTTTCTTTGCACACGTCAAGCACCGCTTTCATATTTCTCCATGTTATCACCTGCTGTCTAGAAACCATAAAATCCCTTTTTTAACTTGTTCCAGGATCCTCTCATAAACTCACAAACCCAAAGCCACTGCATAGAGCTTTCATGGCCACATAGAAATGTATTCTGGGTCACACCAAGAGCTTCCCAATACCATGCCTGGAATCAGTCATCATCAAGTGTAGCAAGCACTCCATCAAACAGCTCCAACTTCTGCCACTGTCTAAATGGGAAGGAACAGCCAAGCATGAGACTTCAGGTCTTTCCCATAATCTGCTTTCTTCTCGGATTGTATACCTTCTCTCAGTCTTTCATCAGCAATCTTCTCTCACTGCCAGTCATCTATAGAAGCCTAAGGCAAAGAAGGTTAGTTCAATGAAACAAAGTTCAGAGGTGCTGTTAACATATCAACCAGCAGAAGGCCCAAGTTCTAAGCTACCCTGCCACTTGAATGTAATCCAGTTCTCTGGTTATCACACATCGTTTTCATGCCATAATGTCATTGTTGCTTAGCTTTCAGGAAAGAGCATCTATATCCACACGAGTGTTTGTGACCCAAAGTGAATTATGTCTTGAATTCATAGCTGGCTGGTGTTAGTACCCACATCTGATAATCAGCATCTAACTTGGTACCGGTCAAAATATGCCAGTAGGTTGTTATCAGTCCACGCTTGCAATCTCATTCCATACCCACAGTGTTTGAACTGCTTAGTAATAATCCATTTAAAAGCCAAGAACCCCAGCTTGTGCATAAGATAATAAGTCTTACCACTCAGACCTCCACTGGCAAATGCAATTGGTTTCTGGTGACCATTACTTTCTTGATACAGAAGAGCTACTAAATCTTCCACATTGAAAAAAAAAAAGGCAGGTTTAAACCAGCATAGATCACAGTAGATGCGGGTTTCAGAGAGTTGACAAAATCTTTGAATGCTTATTCATGTGTGCCCATTTGTTTCTCTCCAAATGGTTTTCTAGTTTCAAAGACAATTTGTCATTTCTTGCCCTTCTGTTTCTGGGTCTCACATTTACGACAGAGGGCTTTCAGTGTTTTGCCAATGGTGGCAGAGCAATAGTAACAACCAACTCCTAGAAAAATTCTTATATCTTAAAGAATATGTATAAAGGGCCAGTTCAGGAATGCTTCTATTTTCTATAGTTGTTGAGATATATGGGACTGATATTTATCAACTGACAGTTTCAGAGCAGCTTTCTCTTAGCTAAT